CTCCCAGAAGTGATCAACATGAAAACTTCTCCCTATAATATCCTTACATTATCCAGTAAACAGGTAGTGAGAATATTCAAGCTTATCAGGTAGAAGTTATTATCTTGATCTCACACCAAATTCTCATAACTAATTTACAAGGATATGTGTAGCAGCCAGATGGGAGAATTAACAATCAGATCTTGAGAGTTAAAGGGTTAATGAGGGGACCCAGCGGATCAACAGTTAGTGCTCTGCACTCCATGTCTAGAGGCCTGGATTTGAGTCATTGTGTTGTGTTCTTGGGGAAGACAATTCTCACACTGACTCTCTGCACCCATGAGCATAAATTGGTGCAGACTTTTATAGACACTTGTTAACTAGATAATCAAATAATTATATTTATACTGTTTAATGGGCCAATTGTAGCAAAACGGAAAATGCTAACAACTCTGAACTACACATGTCAGGAAAATCATTATGCAGTTTGATAATGAAGCAAAATCAGCGAGTCAAGTTAAAATCAATAACATCCTGTACCAAAAAGACCAAAGAACTAGTAAAAAAGGGGTTATAATACATGGATGTTTGTGACACAATTCTACAAAGGCACACCATAAGACAAAGCTGACAAAATGCCTGGGTGATGGACTGCTATCCCACCCAGGGAGAGTACCCATACTTCTAGTGACTTCATCCTGCAGAGACCAGGATAAGCACCAGCTAGGTGGGCCTCTTGTCTTGAGTGCACGTTATGATCATTTTGAGGAAATGGTTGTATCTGATGTGGATCTTATTTCATTTTAATTGTATCTATTAATAAATCAATATTCAGTTACCTTTGAGGGCAGCCACAATTAAGATCAACACCATCAGAAAACCTGAAGCAGAAAAAATTAAGTATGTCACCAAGCAGGACAACAGGTGAGTTTTTCATGTGTTTCAAATTCTTAAAACATCAAAACTGAAGAGGATAGGGTGTCAGGGCTAATTCAACTAAAACCACAACCAGCTGCAGTAAAATATGTGATAATGCAAGATAAAAATTCCACTAGAATTAATTATTTAACCCTTTTAACTTTACGAGTGACCAGCATCTAATTTCTCCTAACAATTACACTGCTGAATCATTCATAAAGTTAATGAGAACAAAGGAAATAATCAGCAACCTAGGAGGCTTTGATTGTTAAACAAATTCTCCTTCTCAGTACCAAAGGAAATGTATAGAGAACAGTATAAAGAATATACTACTTACAAGTATGTTAGGGTATAAAAATAAAGGGTTAACTCACGGTGCTACAATTTCAGCAGCATCAGCAAAATCCTTTGCATTGTTTGCTGCAAACTGAACAATTAAAGGGCGATCACCTACAAAAAACAGGGAAAGTAATTCATACATAAAGTGATAAAAGAAAAAACCACCAAAATAAAAAAGAAACACCTGATTGATGTAAAAATTTATCTATTTTCACATTTTAACCTTTTAACCCCTGAGGGTGACTAGCTTCTAGTTTCTTCTTACAGTAACCACACATTAAGGTCCCAAGAATAAAGGAAACAGTAAAATAGAAACTTGAGACTGTTGAAAATACCCTCCTTGTCAGTACTAAAGGACATACATACATACATATAGAACTTTTGTTTCTGTGTCTAGTTGTTCTAGTACCAAGGCACTAATTAGGGAAATGTATGGAAAAGAATATACTACTCACAAGCATGTTAGCATATAAAAATAAAGGGTTAAGCCCTTTTGGAAATGTATGGAAAACAGTATGGAGGAATGACAAACTGACGATAGGGTGTAAATGGTTAAAGATCAAGTTGTATGGTAATCTGTTGCTTCTTCTTCTTCACCTGCATTAGTTGTGAATTCCATGTCCCTGGCCTTAACAGATTTTACAAAAGAGTCTGAGACTATCATAGGAGTGTATGCCAAGTCACAGCCATATCTGTATTAAACAGTAAAACAAAGCTTTCAACATTAAATCCCCACAATTAATTGAAAATTGAACCAGAAAATAAGGTGAGAAGTAAATTATCGTATTACCTTCTGACTAGGGTCCGAAATGGCAGCCTGAAATGGTAAAATGATATATGATTTGTGTTATCAGATATGAATTTTTTGTGGTAGGTTTGAGAATGCTATTCTTTCCACTAAGACATGTCCATTTTACAGCAAACTTTTAGATGGCCTTTGATGTCCTGCCAAAATATCAAGGCACTTATGCATAGTGTATTTGCCAGTGGCAGTACAATACTGTGAATATCCAAACCAGGGAAACTATAAATCAAAGCGAAGTCCGAAGACTAATGAATACCAAATTAAAACCGAAGATCCACGTAAACTAAATTTAAAAAACAACACGGGGAAGAACGCTGACTCATAAAACGTCGCTATAGTTTAGATGCTTCGAGGAGTTGAAATATACGTAATATATATAGGGCCTTCGTTTAGTAGAAAAAGCAGGCTCAAAATGCAAAACGAAGACCTTCGCCAAAGCGCTTCCTCAGGCCACATAATACTCGCCAACTGGAGAAACAATAAGGCGATCACGACTTACTTGGAATATCTAACCATTGGCGCACATATGCGCACTATTTTTTTCTGCTCGAAGAGTTCCAAAGGCTTTTTAAAACTTACTTCACCATCTTCTTCGCTTTCTTCATCTCCGTCCGCCATGATGAATGATACCCGGCATGCTATTCGAGAGAGACACTGAGAACGAGACAAACGTCGAGATCTGGGTATAAGTGTGCGCGAAGGGAAGAGGAAAAAACTTGCGCACTTACCTCGATCACCTGAAGGCAGTTAAAAGCCTTTGCGAAAGCGAAAGCGTTATTTCAGAACACCTAAGCCTAAGTGACTATGGCTGACCTTCCGCCCGGTTACTATAGAACGGAGTTAAATAGAACCGTTTGGGAAGTTCCTGAGAAGTATCAAGACCTGAGTCCAATTGGAACCGGCGCGTATGGACAAGTTTGGTGAGTACAGAGTGTTAAAATGCAGAGAGGAGTTTGCCTCGATGGTACATAAAATATTTGATTTGAGGTTTGTACCCTGATTTGATGACTGATCTTGGGATGATGCGATTTTCAAGCTGAGAGGCTTCATCGATGTTCGCACCTTTCGTGAAAAAGGACCAGAGGCGTTCGAGAACTACAAACATACTCGATGTAGTTTGTTTAATTCGTCACCTACTATAAATATGCTTACTTATCACAATGTTCAGCGCGGCAAAGTTTCCACATTACCTCATGCTTCGTCATGGATAATAATATTTGCAATCAGGAAGCAAAAGTAAAAACAATGGATTACCTTTGAGATTAATGCTTTGTTTTTGAAAAGTATGACTTCGTGCAGAAATCTTTCCTTTAACTCTTGCCTTAACCTGCCAAAACACTGTTTAGAGCGAAATTGGGGAAAATTTCCGCACAACACCATACTATATTATGCATTCAGTTCTTGGATAGAGAAAGAACGAAAAAAGCAATACATTGCCATTGGGAAAACAGATTTGTTTAACAATAGTATGAGGCTGTGCGTAAATTTTACCCAAAATTTTCACGTAGGCTGGCTTCTAATCTTAGTTATATGGTGAAATATCTGTAATGAATTCAAACTCACAGCTAGGTTATACATTTTAATCAATGGAGAGATAAAACTTGAACAGTACATTTAATTTAAATGCAAATAATCAATCAATTTGTAAATTCATCATTAATGAGGTTTAATTGTGTTTGAAATATGAACACATAGAATGTTATGTTAGGCAAGTTGTATCAAAATGTTGTTTTTCACTTGTGTTATGCTGTTCAGATCGAGTCAAATAAACACCACAAATTATGATATTTCAAACAGATCATGATTATTTAAGCTGTTATACTAAATACATCTGTTTAGCGTGCACATCTGGCTTGATAACCAGCACCTTTTTGGGAAAAAGAAACCCACATTCTCTCCCTTTCTTGGAAGGGACAGAGTGTAGAGAACAAAATGGGAGAATCCTATTCTAGATGCACCTCTGAACTTACAGAATAGGATAGTCTGAGTTTGTATGTACTTACAATATCTTTAAAAAATCCACAGCTCTGCTACAAACACCACTAATGGAGAACAAGTGGCAATCAAGAAACTCTCAAGACCTTTCCAAACCACAATGCATGCAAAGAGATCCTTCAGGGAACTGAAACTTCTTCGCCATATGGATCATGAAAATGTAGGTTTATTGCGTAGAGTTTATGTCGTTGTGACTGAAATATGTTTGAAAATGATCCCCTCAGGTCAATAATTAAAAATTAAATTAAAAAAAATTAATAATTAAACCCTTTTACTCCCAAGATCTCATTAGTAATTCTCCTTACTGTCTGCCATACAGTTCTTAAGATGCTGGTTTGGAGAATTTGGTTATAATAATCCCATAATTTAAATTTTTCTTTATTCTCATCACTTGTCTACTTGATATTGTATTGATATTGTATGGAGAAATTCTGGTTTGGTCATTCACAGGGAGTTTAAGGGCCAATCCCCTAAC